TTCCCTTTGACTACAGCTGCTGCATGAGGCAGCAAAACATCCTTTCATTTTATATATACTAATAAAACTCTCCACAGTATGAACAGTGGTTACATGAGCTTCAAAACCAGCCACAGCTCAGCCCTGAGCAGAGTGACCATCCTCTATTGATCAATAGACTTCAATGTTCACAGCTTCTCCTTTTAGTACCAGATCTGTGTGCTAGGTACCCCAACAGAGGGGGGACAAAAAAAGGGGATGGTACCATCCACAACTTTACACAGTGGAAGTGGAAAAAAAACGTACTGAACTGCACAGTATCGTACTGTTGAGTGGAAATGGGGGTTTGGTGTTTTAATGACCACAGTAGCTCTCAGTTGTTTCAGTTGTGCAACCTCACTGCTAGATGCCACTAAATCCTACACACTGGACCTTTTAAGCGAATAACGCAATTTGATTCTCAAACGAGTCCAGACCAATGTTTCAGTGAATGGCAGTTTTAACATTTGAATGCGTCTGACCCTGCAGGAGCTGGCTCTAATCTACCTTTACCTCTAAGATGTTCATTATTAAGTTGTCAGGGTAGAGTGATTCAGGACTGCTTTCGCGAGTCGGTCAGAGGGTGCATGCATTAGTAATCCATTTGCAGAATTACAATGGGCATCTATTCATCCTGGCCTCCTACACATAATGAATGGCTTCAGAGAACAAATCAAACACACTTCTGATGACAGTTCAAATCATTTTCGATAAAGCTTGTGTAACAAACTGAGCAGATTTTGAGATTCTTTCTTCAGTATGATGGTTTTTGGATAAATACAGGTGGTAGGTATAGCCTGTTGGGTGCTTTATTTTTGTACCTTAGACTTAAATAAGTCCATCATTAGAACTAGACATGACAGGAGAGTTTGTTAAAAGAATCAGACTGTCCATCTCTAGCCTCTCCTGTGTGATGCTAGGTGACCTGGAAGTAAAAAGTAACAGAAGGCATTCCCGCCCACTGGCTCCACTGGCACTGGGCTCCCCCCACTCTCACCGTCAGCTCCACTATCACACATCACATCACACACACTCACACATACACACACACAGAGCAGCTCTTTAATACTTAACACTGTTTTGAATGTCCTGCTGGTGTGCTCTCTTATATTCTACTTTCCCATGTCCTCTCACCTCTCTGTGTGGAGGAGTTTGTGTGCCTTACAGTCAGAGGTAGCCTAATTTAGTAGTACTCCCAGTAAAGTCCCCGGTGGCTGACAAAAAGGGAGGTTCCAGGCCAGACAAAGTACGGCCCATCACCTACTCCTCTGCAAGGAAAACCCTTCTGGCTCCAAGCCCAGATAACAGAAGAGAGCTGAATGTAGGACTCGTATCTGTGCTCTGTGAAGGTGTTCCAGGAAGCACAAACAAAACCTTTTTTACAAAGAAAAGAGGAAACTGAGTTTTTTAACCATTTACTGTGTGAGGCTGACGTCTCTGCAACTTCTTACAACAAGCTCAGCAGAAGCCTTGCCTCATACAAATACTGACACTCATTTTGACGAGTGACCTTGAAGTGTACCGTGCACACGGTTCAGGTTTCTGTGTCTTGTCTCATGTGTGGAAGTAAAGCCCCTGCTGTCAGGAAATGACTGACGATGGAGATGTTCATGAGCTGAGAGGAAAATGCAAAGCGGGTCACTATGTAATGAAAGCCGAGAGTTTTCTCAACGCCGCCTCGCTTTATCGTTTATCCTTCCTTCAGAGTCCTTAATGGCTTTTCTCCTACACCAGAGGATCATTCATCTTCTAAGTAGCCTTGTCAGACCCTCTACACTGAGATACAGCAGTGAGGGGGCTGCTAGTCTCCTAATTTAGATGCAAAGTCATGAGAGGGAACATGAGATCAGCTTTTTGCCTTCATTTCAATTTATTATTTTCTGAGGGGACAGTTTGACACACAGCTTCCTCCGGTGCCATTGTCTTAAAGAGGGGACCTATTATACTTTTCCATATTTTGTGTCTGAAATAAAGTGTTACAACAAAGGACGTTCATTAAACGTGGCCAAAGTTTCAAATAATGAGATATATATATGTAAAAGTGATGCATGTGAACAAAAACGTAAGGCTTCAGGCTGCCTAAACACTAGGTTTTAACATTATTTTCTACTGTGGCCACAGTATGATGTCATGATGTGACAAATATCTTTATATGGTCGTCTGCTCCTTGCACGCAACTGTTTACATTGTGGTCTTCACTGCTACATGAGGCTATATGCTGTCATCAGCAGGGCTGCCCCCTAATACTCGACCAAATGTTAGTCAACCAGAAAGGTAAGATCGGCAAGATTTCATTGGTCGCTTAGTCACAGAACAAACAAAGAAACAAAAAAACAAACAAACAAACAAACCAAATAAAAAAAAAATAAAAAAAAATCCAAACCTATATGACTGGACCATGTGGGAATTTAATTTGAAAGGACAGACACAGGAAGTGGCCACGCTAAGCAGTCAGACAGGAGTCAAGTTAATTTCCAGAGCTGGTACCTGCTGTTATTCCACACAGGCTAGTTAATAACATGTTGGGCAGCAAATCCAAAGTGTGGGATCATTGTGAGAAGGTGAAGGACGAACCCAAGGTGATATGTAAACTCATCTTCACTGGTCAACTACAAACATGACGTATCATCTGAAACATGGAAGTAGCTACATGCCCATTAGCCACTTAGCACAATCATTACTGCTTTGCCGACAGCGTCATTAACAAGTGTGACGTGCACTTGTAGATAAAATATAGGCCTATATTAATGAAGGTTCATTAGTACGGTTTTATATTTCTCTGTAATGTAGCACAGTGTTAACAATGTTACTGATTCTTTCTCACACCTTCAACTCAAACCATTGTGTTGCCCCGCCCAAAATGTATAATTTAATAATTAAATTAATATCGTAAACATGTGGGTGACTAGTCAACCAATGGCCCTAAATGACGACTTGGTCGACAAGGAAAATTCATAGTCGGGGCAGCACTAGCGTCATCAGAGAAAAATGTACTGTTGGTTGCTGACGTTAATTTTTCCTCGATTTCAGATCAAATTTCTCTAGAACATGTTTGATTGTGACGATTTTAGTTTAGAGGCTTTTATTGGCAGAAAGTGCTGCCATTCTCCATTACAGTTATTCCCCAGCTGCAAATACTCTGCCAACATACATGTAGCCACATGCTAACATCAAGCAAAACCTGTAATATTGGTTGCTGATGTTGTAAATTTCTTCCTGATTTTTAATCATATTCCTGCTGGAACATGTCCAATTGTGTTCAAAAGCTATTACTGACAATTATCTCAATGTTGAAAGTGTCACTATTCTTCATTACAGTCATTCCCCAGCTGCAATAATGATGTAGAGACACTGAGATAAAGAAGACCCAGAACACCGTGACATATCAGAGCAGACCGGGCTTTTTTAAAAATGGGATTTAAAGACACAGGCACTAAAACAGAGTGTCGCATAGAGAGTGTGAATACAGGTGTTCCATCAAAGGCAGTTTGGGGAAAATAGTGTTTTTGAAGATTAAAGCATGAAACATGTTCTTGAAGAAACCGAGCGTAACAGGTCCCCTATTCAGTGTGTAATTCTTATATTGCAGTTCATGTGTTGCATGCATAAACATTATACTTACACATGAGACTTATGTTACTTTGAGCAGATATACCTGGAAGAGAAACATCTATTTCTGATAATGTCATCTCTTCCATTTCAAGTCTGTTCCTCCACATTAGTAACCATGGTTACCATATTGTGTCTCTACGTGTAACAGCCAGCTGCTACCAGCCGAAATGTCCGAAGACAGTAATGAACATTATTGTGAATGATGAGAGATGAGATGTTTTCAGGACAGGGACAGTCTGGCGTGTCTCTGCTGATGTTGTGCATTAGGCAGAAGCTTTTCAATAAGCTCATATTTCCCAGAAGTCTGGTCTTGCCTTCTGAGATGGATCCCATCTCCCTGAATTGTGTTTTCCCTCCCTGTGCTCTCCTTCTCCCACAAGATGCCTCGACTTCACTGGGGTTAAAAATAGATATCTCCCCCCAGTGCAGCTTGAGTCTAACTTTATTTTCATGGGGGGGGAATGAAAAGCACACATACTGTGTTGGAGGGACCGGCGGAAAAAAACAAAACAATAACCTTCAAGATCCAATGACAAATCAGGTTCTGTCTGTGTAGGAAAACAGAACGCAGAGGAACAAAGGTCCAAATAAAAAGGTATTTTGTTGTGGTTTAAACCGGTGTGGCTCTCTACTCTTCATCGAGCTCGCTTCCCGGGCTTTAATCTTCGAATTTCACTTTGGTTTTGATCTCAAATTAGTCTTGCCATCTACTCCTCCTGAAGTCTGAGAGTGTTTTAAATTCCTGAAAAACCAATCACACTAAATATTTGAACAGGAGTTTTTTATGGCAGGTTAATTAATAATCACAGCGTTTCAGTGCCGGCATGGTCATATGGATATTGATTTCTCACTGGCTGCTGTTGACCTCAATTCATCTTTCTGATCTTTCTTTGTGCACAAATGCACAGGCGATACGCAAGAGAAAGATACCCATACAGACACATTTCTTTCTAGCTCTGAGTCCTCACATCTCATGTGCAGACAAAGGGAGGGAGACAGTGAGAAGACTGGGGGAGACAGAGGGACAAATAGAGTGAATGAGAGGAGGAAGGAAGTGACATTGCAAGAGAATGTAGACGGATGAAGACGTGACGGTAAGCAGGAGGGCACGTTAAGGCAGAGCGAACACTGGAGTCAGAGTGTGAGAGGCAGGCAGAGGAGGAGGAGAGCAGAGAGGAGAGGAGGAGAGGGGAGGGGGAAGGGCGGGCGTGGGAGAGATGCAAGTTGAGTCAAAGCCCCCGAGCTCCCCTGATTTCTCTGTGAAAGACACAGTGCTGAAAAGATGGATAGCGTGTGCCCTCTCTGCCAAGGCATGCCCAAGACAATGACATCATCAACATCAAACTAGCAAGGACACGAGGCGAGAGCCCCAGACTCACGCTTGGATCATTTATTCATTATTATTCACTCACTTATTCATCATTTTCCTTGCGCTCAGACTATCGCTGTGCACTGACACCAATCATGAAGTCTTCATACTTAAAAATCTTCTTTAAATAAAATAGTACTTCTACAGTCAGACTGTCACTGGTCATGAATAGTCTTCATACATACATTCACAATACATATACAGCCACATGTGGACACTTTGGTGCATAGCACAGGAAAAAAAATCATCACAGGTTCAGGTTTAATAGGAGGCTACAATTACAGAAGAGCAGAGACTGTTTTTATTTCCTTCATACTGTATGTGTTGTGTGGGTCTGATATACTGTTGTTGCAGATGGTGAACTCTGGTGAGCAGCGGCGTCACTGCTGGGGCACCTTGTCGGTGAGTCTCTTTGCTTTATTCTGGAGATAACGTGCCTTGCCCTCCTCGAAACGCCTCTGCTCGTCCTCTCCGTTAACCTGAAGACATTACAAAAAAAGACAAAAGATTTGTTTTCAGACACATTCATCTTTTACACATCATGAGCACTGGAATGTTTCCCCTGCGGTTATTACATTAACCATGAGCATGAAGCTGTGATCTAATTTACCAGTCGGTGCCGTTGTAATTGTCATTCATCTTCTAAATGAAATACTGAATGAATGATTGAAAGTTGGAGAGGCTCTGCATTACAGAGTGAAGGAGCAGAATTTATTGATTCATTCAGAATTCAAGCAGTTGAGTAAAACCACATGAGGTGATTTGCAAGACATTTGCAGGACACACGACATATTTGAAATTCCTTCAAGGTAATTTAAAAAAGAAATGTGAATGTGTTTGTACAGCAAAGTTTGTATTTCTGACAGTGGCAGCCAAAAGGATTGTGATGTCAGGCAGTCAGTCTGTCCAGGAGCACAGTCCTTTGGTCCTGAGATATAACATTATCAGGACAAATAATTACCAGGTTATATGAAATTCTATGTGAACTTTACAATAAAGTTACCTAAAGGTTAGCGTATGATTATTGGTGACTGCTGGCTTTTCATCTAATATCACCAACTGAAATCTCTCTTAAAGTAACAACTACAAAGATTTTCATTTAAATAAATATCTCTTCAGTCATTTTTTTTTTATCACTGAATGAGGTAACGCAACAGTGATTGAAGTATTACAATATCTATTTATTTGCAGTATTATGAACTGGTTATCGAGGGTGACATTCACAGAAATGCTGTATTAAAGGTCTAGTGAGTAGGAATTAGTGGCATCTAGTGGTGAGGTTGCAACATTGCTACCAACTGAAACTTCTCCCATGTGCCAAGTGTGTAGAGAAACTAAAGTGAACAACACAAAAACACAAGTGGCCCTGTCCAGTGCCAGTGTTTGCTTTATCTGTTCTTATTACTTACTGTAGAACAACATGGCAAGCTCCATGGAAGAGGGCTTGCTTAATATGTGGCTATAAATGGCTTATTGTATGCTAATGTAAACATAGTTAGGAATATTGAAGTCCATTTCTGCTACTATATACCCTCTTAATGCTACATACCTGACCTGCACTTCCTGCTATTGTTCATCAAAAATGAGACTACAAAATGTCGGCCATTTTCATCAATTATCGACAGCAACTTAGTTTAAATACTGCAGGAAATAATGGAACACTCAGGAGCAGCCACAGTAAGCTGTTTGATGAAGAGCTGCAGGGGACAGGGTGCACACCTCCAACTTAGCCAGGTAACCAACTCCTTTCACAGTGCCCTACTATCTGCGGACTCATGCTGTGTGCAGCATAAATCAGATCATAGTTGCTCATAGAATAATGGAAAAAGGCCAGTTATTACCTAACTTCTTTATTAAAATGACAAAAGTTTGTTTTAGCTCCCCCAGAACTCTGATACCTCCAAGTATTAAATCGGATTTATTACCACCAATAAGTACACGTTTCACCAACTCAAAATGGCAGTGGCAGCCCCCAGCTGGGCGAATCCCTATTATTTTTAGCTGTACTACTGTACTGTAGCACGATCATCTACTTCCATAACAGGATGTTATATGCACAATTTAAATTTAGTTTTAACATCCCATATACAAAAGATATATTTGTATTACACTTTGATTGCACCATCACACCCAGGAACTCTGAGATGCCCCCCCCCCCCTCTGGATTCACATCTGATATGAATTCCCTTTCGACTTCTGTTTTTATTCTGAGCAGCACTTTGTAGCCTGTGAAGAACAAATCTTCTCTTTCTCCTTCACTTAGTTCAGTTTGGCTGCTGATTCGTGGGAGGAAGCACACTTGCTGGCCTGCGCTGTTTAATTAGACTGCCTGAAAACCTTGTGACTTAAACAACAATACCACCACCGGTGACAGTGTCAACACTTACTTTAACATGGTGCTGCCCACTTTCCCACTCCCTCATCTGCACACAGTTCTAAAGGAGCAGGGGAGTGTGTTGTATTTGTGTGCATGTGCAAATAAGTCTGTATGTAAAACTGTACAAGTGAATGCTTGTGTCAGTGACATGTTCAGATGTGCGCACACCTGGTGGTTGGCAGACTCAAGAGCACCTGCCACTCAGCAGCACTCTGGGCACAAAGCTGACAGATGGCGCCTTAACTTTATGGAGAGAGCAGGGTGGTGAAAGATATGACAAAACATCGTGCCAAGACAAGCCCAGGGGTCACAACTCAAATGTGACATGGATGGGAATATTATCTATCTCCATAGAGCAGGTTTAGGAGCATACAGTTGTAGTATTTGTTGTACGCTGCTAATATAACAGTCAACATACTGCTCAGTCAATTTTGCTTTTGCCATTTGACTGAAAGTAATGGATTCCAGTTCATTGACTTTCAAAAAAAAGAAAGAAAGAGACCAAGTTTCACCACTGTTTCAGTATTTTTAAACATTTATATAAAGAGAAACACTGCGCCGACAATCTGTTTTTCAAAAACTGAATTTCCACATTCAAAATTTAACAAGACAATGATACAATCAGGAACTGTGGGGTAAGTATTGCTTTTCCTACATCATCCCTGCACGGAAAGCAAGCACAGCTACACAAACAAAGCCTCTATTATTGTAACATTTTTTGAGATAAGAATAATAACTCACTGTCTCTAATTAGACAGAGACATTAGAATTATATTTCCAACTGGACTGCATGTAGAATAATGTAGAGGGAGCAGGTCATTACAGTGTTATTGAAATAAGCCCCGACAAGCTGATTTGGAAGCCTGACACCAAACAGAGGTTTATAAATCATCTAATTTAACACAGCTGCTGCGTATACCAAAGACATCCATCATTTAGCACAGAACACTGGTTTAAAATGATTTCATTACAAGCCCAAAAATAGTTCAGAGGGACTGCATGCCCTGCAACCACAGCTAAATAAAACAAAAAATGGCCAGTTGGTAAGACAACTTGTTTTAAGGGGGGATCTGTGAAAAGTAATGAAGTTAAAATAATTATTGGTCTGTTGGGTCTCTCTGCAGTCTCCCAAAAAACACAACAACAACAACAACAACAAAAAAAAAAAAACAGCAATATGAAGCAACAAAATGTTCCAGAGGCAGCTGTTAGAGTAGCTACAAAATGGTAAAGAGTGAACAATTTAACATTTAATTCTGTGTGTGTACATGAAGCTTTAGAGGCAGCACTGATTAAATGCCCCAAGTGTTAGGGTATAATGAGTTGACAGAGGGCAAATTCAGGAATGAAGATTAAGAGTATGCACGAACAGCCATAGAGATGCCACCCAAATGTACGCTGATGAGCCAAAACATATAAACCACTCACTGGTGAAGTGAATAACATTGGTCATTTCATTACAAAGCAATGTTCTGGTGGGAAACCTTAGGTCCAAGCATTCATGTGGATGCAACTTGATGTGCTCCACCCAAACACACTACAGACCACGTACCCCACCTCACCGTGCTGCTACACCATATAAACTAAGCAGGAATGGCCTGAGGAACGTGACGCTCAAGGCGTCAACCTGGCCTTGAAATCCCCTTGATCCAAATCTGATTGAGTATTCATAGGACATGGGGCCCTCTTGGATCAGACTTGGCACTGACCTGTTGTGGCATTGACACAGGACCTCTGGGCAGTGTCCTGTGGTGTCTGCATTTAGTCCTGTGTGTTGTGGGGTAGGATACCAGCACGTCCCACGGATGCTCAATTGGATTGGAATCTTGCGAACTGCAGATGCCTTGAGCTCTTCATCGCGTTCGTCGGGCCTTTTCTAAGAGGTTTTTATGGTGTGGCATGGTGCATTGTCCTGCTGGTGGGGCCACTACCATCAGAGAGTGCCATTGCCATGAGGAGGGTACTTGATCTGCATCAGTGTTTGGGTGGGTGGGGTGTGTCAGGTAGCCAGAACCCAAGGTTTCACAGCAGAACATTGCATTGTAACAAGATGATGCTATTCACTTCATCAGTTAGTGGTTTCAATGTATTGGCTTATCTGGGTATATACAAACTAATACACATACTGTCTAGGCACAAGTCCACATGGTATTAAAGTGCAGGCATTTAGATGTGTATGGCATATTTACTGACACTGTCTTCAGGCTAGTTGTAACTTTTATTCTGATTGTTTATCTCCTCCAAACTACTCATATCCCCCCGTCATTCAGCCCCCTGAGAACTTAACCATTATTTAATTACACTTTTAAAATCATAGTCAGCCGCAGCTTGAGATGGTTTAATGAACACGCCAATTAAAAAGGAAGTGTACACCTGACTACTGCTAATGAAGAATGGCAGTTAATAACAGCATGAGATATGATCCTCTAAAGTTTCTGACCAAAGCAAAACAAACAGATGATTCTGGCAGGAGAAAACTTTTCCCCTTCATAGTGTCTCATGTTTATTTTCAGTCTATAGGGTATGCCAAATCATTCAGTCTCCTCTGCGGTTCACCACACCTGCTTCAACCATAACCCTCCACGTTTAGCCACGTTCTCGTGTTCTGCCTCCGGATTTGGACCACAGCTCCTCTGCTTGTTCTGCTTTGCCATTCCCTGCCCACCTCAACCATCATTTCAGTCAAGTCTTCAGCTCCACATCTTCTAATTACAGTAAACTGCCGTTAACTATTCAGTTTCCTGATAGTGTTTGCATTTGGATCCTAAGTTGAACTGTCACAACACCTCCTTGGCACTAGCTGACAAAAAAATCACTCTGATTGGCTGTTAAGGTGAGTGCACAAAAAGAGCAAACAAACGACTTAAGTAAAGAGGACAGCAGACCTAAACAGACATGTTATCTAAGGTAAGATGTTTTTTTTTTTTAGCTATTGAGCTCTTTAGCAGAAACAGTTCGTAATCATGGTATTGTTCGCTGGCGTGTGATAACTATATCCTTTGTTCTTTCACCATCGGGCTGTGGTGCTAATGTGCTAACTGACTAACTCGAGTCTTGAATCAGTCCTGTCAGTCTCCCGATTTTCACTTTGAATGACAAATA